ATCACCATTTTTCAAAAAGTTATTCAATTGTTAACTAACAAATTTTTTCGCTTTGTTTCAAACAAGTGTTGAACAGTTCACAGAGTTCATTGTTGACATATGGGTTAGTATTATGTCTATCTAATATGTTTTTTATCATCAGGGGAAGGTATTCATCTGTTGGAATATTTGGAAACATGTTCTTGATGTCAAATGTTATTGTTAATTTTTATGTTGTTGAGTTTGTTTGTCAAGTATATTGAATTTAGTATGGTGTGATAAGGTTTGAAATTAGTGATCTCCCTGAATTTGCAATTTAAGAATTTCGACAGCTTATAATTAGGGGTATTGGTATATGAAACTACCGGTATGGCTGTGTTACCTTCTTTGTGTAGTTTAATTAGTCCATACATCCCAGGTGGACGAGGGTTCATACAGGTAGTCTTCTTCTTGTCCCATGCTGTGGGGAAAAGGAACGTAGAATGTTCAATATTTTTCTTCAGATGGAGTGTGAAGGGTTTTATGGGGTCTTTTTTCAACTTTGTGGTGTCTAATTGTTCTGACAAATGATGATTTTCTTTGTTGACTAGGACTGCGAGTTTGTTTTTGAGGGTTTCATATGTGTTCTTGGATCTTACACTCACTTCTTGATTTATCTTGTCTTCTAAGCAATCAAATTCTACATCTTTGATGTAGAATTTGATTGCTTAGAAGTGAGTGTGAGATCCAAGAACAAATATGAAACCCTCCAAAAGAAACTGGCAGTCCTGGTCAACAAACAAAATCAACATTTGGAAGAAGAACAAGATATTCAATCTTCGGAATATGAATTCTACCCAAGATTCATCAATCTGTCAAATAGTAAGTTCACCAAAGATAAAACAGAATTATTAGAGAAAGGCCCAAAGTTCACTCCTCCAATTAGTAATAATTTTAATAGAACAAAAGAAATCATAGGAGCCCANCTTTAAAACTTCGCCTCTTTTTATATTTGAATTCCTCGAATATAGTTTATTGATAAAACCTTTATTGTAATAATTATAGTATGTGCCATTTCACAATATTTGTTTCCGGTCATTGAGTTCTTTTGTAACAATCCTCAAATCATAACATACTGATCATATATTTTTTAAACATTCTCAATGTGATGTTTGAACTTGACTTTTTCATCTATAAGGGGGCCAGAAAGTTTGATAAAAATATGTTATAAATGATGACATTTTTCAATGAGAGATCATCGTAAGTTAATATACGTATTCAAAAAACACTTTCTTGTGAGTTTTCACTAAAAGATTTCACAAAAACGCAACACTTGTTTCGTCATACAATGGCTTATTTGGGCGTGTCTTTTAACTAATTCTACATATTCAATGCGTAATATATCTTATTCTATAATTTGAAGTACCTGCATTTCAAGTACCTGATTTTTATCCAAGTTTGCAATGAATTAAATTATCTGAGCTTATTTATGTCCCAGTTTCCACATTTGAAAAAATATTCAGTAACGGAGAGTTATTCAATTCTAATTGATCATTCAGTAAATTACCCGAATTCCTGAATCTATTAATTTCTAAACATTCTAGAAGATTGAGTTTCAAACTTTTATTTTCTAAATGTAACACATCGTATTCATGATTGAACTCATGTCCTTCTGATAAAAGGTGGTTTGCAAATGTGGAAATGGTATCTCTATTTACGAAACTACTTCTATACTTTTTAATTCTTTGGGAAAATGTTCTCCTTGTTTGGCCAATATACAGTTTTGGACAAGAGCCACAAGTCAGCTTATATACTCCTGATCTATCCGACACCGATTTTTTGTCTTTATTGTTTTTAATAAATTTACTTAGACTAGTGTTCGTTCTGTAAGATATTTTTACGCAACGATTATAAGAGCCAACACTACCTTGATAAAACTGGAATCGGTTTTAAGCCTTCAGTTTTTCTTGAATTTGTTTTTTGTTTTTTTTTGAATGATTCTACATATATTTGTAAATTCGGGAACTTCAGTGATTATGGTAATGATGAGTTTTAAAGAAAAAAATGATATGACATGATAAATTGGAAAAATCAAGAAGTTCCCGAATTCTTATAGGACCACCGAGTCCATACAAAAAATATGTCTTCCATGAAATCATTAGTTTTTGCAAAAAACCGATTCTACAATCGCGAAATTGATGACTGATTGGCGCTGCCACCTACATAGTACTTTAACTATTGAATACAACTGGCAACACTGTAGAATCGTCATACCGCAATCATCGTGAAGATACGACAAGATTGGTTATTGCTATCCTTTTCTCGTACGCCAGTAAGGGATTTCCCTCCATTCTCCGTATTTAGTAGATTAGGTTTTGATGTTACTTGGGAAACAATGACATGATTTAGGTAGGTGAATTGTGAATAAATACCATAAACGTACCTACAAACAATTATTCTGGTGCATCCCTTGGAAACTGAATTGTTGTTCTTGTTTTGAGAGTATTATAAGTGAGACTTGTTGAAAGAGCAATGGGTCGAATAAGTGAAAGAGAACGTACTGCCAAACATGAAAAATGTTTATTTTCTCGAAGAAAATCTCGACGGCAAGCAAGACGAAGGTATGTTTATATTTTATATTCTACTTCAGATTATAATGCAAAGGCAAAACGATATGACATTGAATACTTTTCTTTACATAAGAGAAGGCTAAGTTATGTTGAAAAAAAATCATTCTCAGTTGAAAATCATGAAAATTCTGAAATAATCCCACAGTGAATATTTGAAAAACACTCTTCTACCTCATTCGTCTATACCGTGTGGCTTTTAATAGTCCCCCCCTTTCAACTTTAGAACAGTGTGACGTACAAGAATGGGACAAGAACCGATAGTACGTCTGTAAATTATAGAGGTTGTGATTGCTCGATAGATGGTGCGTGGCGGGGGGGGCGTCAAATCAACTCAAAAATTTCAAAAATTAAAGGGGGTCAAGTCACATCTGTTCAGCCATCTAAACATTTTTGAATTTCGTTCTTAAGTTTTTCTTTTTAATATGCATTTGAAATATCAAGTATAAGTGCGGATCTCACCTCAATAACTTTTGAACGGTTTAATGTAAAATAACAATTCTCCATTGTATAATTAGTAATACAGTTTAATAAGGTAGATATTTGAATCCATATACCTAATTCAATTTACGACCGAAATTATACCCAAATGATTTATATTTAATGGCATTTTGAATAACAGGTTGCATCAGTTGAATTCAGTGAAGTGATAATTAAGGAAATACCTGAAAAATTTGTATTTAATAATGAGTTTAACCTCTGTGCTAGTATACCTGGGTATATGTTACAAAATGTCAAGCAAATTTTTTTGTAATTTTTCATAATTTTCAACCGAAATTGTTTCGTTTTCAACATGAATACCTTCCATGTTCTTGAACTATTGGAGATAGTCTGAAGCTTAACATTCAGTCCCAGATTATTCCTAAACTGATAATATCCCAGTACTTAATTTCAAAAAATATATCATAGAGTGTCACCAAGAAGATGCACATCATATGGATTTTTCTTTCAGTTATGTATTATCATTTCATACAATCTTTTATTGATTGTAGTTGTTTTTCACAGGCACCTGAAAAATAAAATTTTGGCAGAAATAAACAATGTGATCCCCCATTCGACATGTGACGAGGACATTCAAGAGATGTGAGTTTTATTTTCATTTGTTGAATTCTCATAATATATATTTTCCATCCATTAGTATCCCGCTAGCCGTTGACTATATTAGGTCATTTGCTCATAATAATTATTTCATTTCGATTTCAGTGTACCTGAACATGGAAACTATCCTGAATTATCTGAGGATTATTTGCCTCCTTCGAATGTCATCGCCACGTCTCAGTTTGAGCCGCAACCCGGTTGCAGTCAACATCAGTCTGATGATGATGAAATCGATGCACCTGCGGAAAAAAAGACAACTTCTTTTGAAGTCACTGGAAGAAGAATCGTTGACATCAGTTTCTTATTCAAACAAATTCTTGATAGCGAGAAGCATAAACTGTTTGGATGTGATATCACAGATATGCAAGTTATAAAAGAAGTGCGAAAGGGGTTTATGTCAACATTTACTTTGAAATGTAAAATATGTGGCATAACTCAGCAGATTCATTCGGAGGATCCACGAAATGTTTCGGGAATAACTGAATCCTTGGATATTAATTCAGCCTTGATTTTGGGAGCAGTTTCATCCGGCAATGGCTACTCAACATTGGCTGAAATTTCAGTTGTAATAAATATGCCAATGATGGCTGAAAACACCTACTCTAATTATCACGATAAAGTTTCTGATGTTATTTACTCAACAGCGAAAGAAGTCATGGAAGAGGCCGGGAAAGAGGAAGCAGAGTTGGCCAAAAATTTGGGAGAAATTGATGAAAATGGAGTCCCATTTATAACTGTTGTAGCAGATGAGGCATGGTCATGGATGAGGCATCATATAATGTTAATTATAATGCAGCTTCTAGTGTGGTGAGTTCAATGTTTATATTTTTATGATGATATTGTTGATTAATGATATCATTTGTTTCAGGGATGTATTGTAGGACACCGGACTGGAAAATTATTATATTTGGGAGTCAGGAACAATTTCTGCAGTACCTGTGATTTTTACAATAGGAAAGAAGTGGAATACCCCAACATAAATGTTTCAAAAATTGGATTGGCACTTCTACATCAATGGAAACAGATATTATTGTTGAAGGATTCCGAAGCAGCATCACAACGCATGGGTTGAAATATCTCACATTAGTTGGAGATGGTGACAGTTCTGTCTATTCAAAATTGATGGAAAC